GAACGTGTTGCTTCTGCAATGCTTGGGCAGCCATGTTTAAAAGCATTTATAAGGCATGGATTTCCATCATCTCAGCTTCTATTTCGGCAGGCCACTTTTTCAAAAGTTTTTAATGGCTGAATACTTTTTAATTTAAACGGCGATCAAACATAAACTAAGAGAAACTAGTCGACAAAATTTACAGAGGGGCGCTACCTAGGCTACCGTTTTCTGACCATAACATAAAATTGATATTCAGCGCCATCTTCATGCTGAAATATGACACATGTCAATCCGTCCAATTTTTATAGGCTTATGAGTGTGTTATTGAGATACTGTAGTCATTTACATTTAGCGTTACTCCCACTGTAATTTTTTTTTGAGATATCTCACTAATATATCTAACCAAATCAAATACAGTTTCAAATTCATTGCCTCGCATTAATCCTAAAGCCATTATTCTTGCTTAAAAATCTTAAAAGTGACTGCCACACATTCACTTTACATAGTAAAGTAGAAAAGCTATTCTTACTCCAATAATTTATCTCCCTTTAATTAACACTTGTATATTATTCATGTATAGTATGACCTTTGCCTATATTTCACGTTTGTTTCAATATTAAATCAAAGAATTAACAATATATATACTATACGGTAGTTACAACAATATATAGGGAACCTTACGAATATCTGAAGATCAATGAACCAATAAAAAGTTTCTTTATTATACTTGCTGTAGTATATGAACGAATGTAGGTATGTCAACGACATTTTTTATTGCTGTTGTTGTTAGATACTTAGTGGCTAAAATTCTTCTGTTAAAATCGTGCAGTACTTGTCCGTAACCCACTTACTGTTAACTCAGTGGTTCAGTTGTAATTGAATTTCTAATAAGATAATAATTATCATTTAAATATCGTATATACAAATTGTATTCTTATGCTATTTAGCGTTTTATTGTTTGGGTAACAAATAACCGTGTGTACTACAGTGCATCGATTTTAATCAATACTTTAGTTGGTCTTATCGTTACTTTAATTTATTTCTTATGAATGTCATACTTTCCAAACTTCTAAGTAATTGTTTATATGGCTTAAACACCCTTTTTATTGGGCGTGTTGATACCTTACTAAGGCCTTATCTATATAGCGCACGAAATACTTCACTAGCAGCATATACCCACTAGATGGCGGTATACTGTCTATACTTGGATTTTAGTCTATATATTACGTGGGGTGTCATCTGAAACATACCGAGCGGCATGGCCTAGAGGTTTAGACCATTGCTTAGCATTCGGGAGGACGCCGGTTCGATTCCGGGTCCGTCTGCCTTGGTCCAAGTTTTTCTGTGGTTTCCTTGGATCACTTAGGCAAATGCTGGGGCAGTAATATTCCACAGATAATCTTTCGTTCTTTTCTATCTTCATTTCGTCCGTCTCAACTTTCTCATCCGAACCACCACCCACCCATTCCACCCATTGGAAATGAAACACCCAAAAGTTTTTTTTTATTAAACATACGGCAATAGCATGTAACGTACAAAATGTCCGAAAATGTTCTCCAAAACCGTACTGTTCCGAAAAGTTTCCTGCCATATGTGTTGTATAAGTTCTAAAAGAATTCCTCTATTTCTCCTTCAACAATTTTTAACAGACAGGTAAAATTGTTCAAACTCACATTTTAAGAATTGCAAACAGCGATGATTTCTCGGTGAGTGGATACTTAAAATAATTTTTGTTCGCGTAATTGCTACTCCAAATGTGACAAAATTTGCCTAACATCGCCTGGTTCTGACGAACAGTTACATTTTATTGTTTGATGTTGTTAACGTTACAGTTTCACGGTACGAAAGGAATAAAAGAAAAAACCATTTCAATAAAAGAGCCATATGTTAGACGATGTAGTCAAACCGGCGATTTCACAACAAATAGTTCCACATAAAGTTCTTTGTAAACGGGAAGCAACAACAAAGAAGCATAATTTTAAACCAGTATCATTAGTGTGCGATGTTCTTTTCTTGTTATGAACCGCTGCACTACGAAATAATGCGTAAGGCTTTTATTAACTGTTACTTTTTACAAATTTACAAATACGTAAATCATCAGCAGAACATAACAAGCTGATTAAAAATTGTTATAAGTTTAAATGGACATTTAGATTCAACATTTTAATGCATTCGTCATAATTTTTGGTGTGTAACTGAAACTACACCTCACGTAGTCCCACAAATATTTTTTAAATAAATCAAAATTGCAGTTATTTAACACAATAATTCGAAGTGGTCTGTATTCTGTCGAAACTGCCAGACGCGGATCGCGATTTCGATCTTTTTGGATCTCAACAGCGCGTCGCAGGCAGCTTCGACAGAACACAGACCAACCTTTACCTGCTGTCTTAACAGCGCGTTTTAGAAAATACCACAAATGGCGTGGTGAGCGCCATCTGTAGTACGATGCTACATTTTAGGATTACGTATGCTCCAACAAGGTCCTTTTAAAAATATGGATATTACTTGCTGAAACGAATCCCGGCGTAGCTCACCTCAACGTGATAGGCACGTTACCATAATCGAACAAAATAATTCGGTTAGTTAGGCAGTTATTTAGTTATTTCCGTACTATATAGTATCAATTATATATCTTTGCTCTTTAGACATTGCGGCAACCGGTGAGTCCACATTGGTCGACACCGGACGCTTTTTGTAGGCAGTCATAAATCATCTCCATAGCTGTATTAGCATCTAGCAAAGAGAATAGCCTTAAATAGAATGGAAGCGGTATGCTGGTATGCAAGGGTATCTAGGAAGTCAGATAACTCAGAGGATAGCGCAGGATCAAGTCGCCTTTAACAAAAAGAAATCCCTTCTATTGTCGCGAACGGTTAAATTCGGAAATGAATGGATATCAGAAAGAGTAAGAGAACGAAGGCGCTACGAAAGTCAATAAGAAATGATAAGTTGATAGAACACCTTCTCAGGCAAGTAAAATTAATTAGGGGACATCATCAACATCATAAGGTCGTCAGTCCTAAGACTGGTTGGACATCTCTACTCCTTCCTATCCTGATCTAATCTTCGCATTTCGCATTTTCGCATTTCCCTAAAACTAGAACATCCACATCCTTAACTATTTGCGAACAGTTATCTAATCTAGGTTTACTTCTACGTATCTTAACTCCTGTGTCTGCCTCATATGTCTCTGACTAGACCTTCATGCCTGAGAAGGTGTCTTACCAATCTCTCTTGTCTATTGTTTATTGACTTCCATAGAGTCCTGTTCTCCTATTCTTATAATTAGGGAGAAACAGAAATTAGAACTACGGGGGTAGAGGTAGACCTTCATAGTTAAGGATGTGCGATGTTGTAGTTTTAAGAAAATTAGCTGAGGATAAAAGAAAGACAAAAAAAAAGAATGGATACACGTATCAAACCAGTCTTAGGACTGGATGATGATGATTATACAATTGCTCCCATCATGCTGTCAGTAAAGAGCTGCCACTGGCTTATCGACGATCTTCTCTTTCACGAAACCGGAAGTAATAAAAGTAACAATCAAACGAAACAAAGTCAAAAGATGACCGTATCAAATTCGATAATAATTATTCGTGACTTTGTTTTAAGGCCGTTTCGTACCGGCGAGTCTGGATTTCTTTGCCAATTATTTGTATCCAATTGATATTCTAATTCTGCTATGCGAATACTTGTAACTATTTTGTTTCTAGCATCTTAATCAAAAGCGATCGGTAATAACGGACACAGGAGAACCTGTCCACTCTTATATCCTTTGAGAAGAAGGTCCCTTTTTGTCCTTTTTGTTAATTTTGAGCAGATATCATAAGAACTCCTTGTCAAAATTTAACCAACATCCATTTTATTTTCTTCAAAATTCTCTATTTGTGCTAATGTTTGTATCCTATTCGCATTTCCATTGTTGGAAACGTCCTTAGAAGTCCTCAAAAGTCAATCTCATCAACTGTGTTGTCGTTTTACTTTTTATTGTCTCCACATCCTTCGAAGGCCATTTTACATTTACGAAACATTAACAAAACCAAATCACAAGCTAAATTGAAGTCTAGGTTCAGTGAGTAAAGAAAACGATCTAGAGTTCTGGAGCACTGATGAGGAACGTGACCTTAAATCTTGCAGTAGTTATTGTTTATTGTTTTTCACTCTGAGTACTGTGTTGTAATCATTCGCTACTATTTTAGGCAAAAGTTTAAAAACCAATTTAATTGACTTTCTAAGTGATTCATAAGGAAATTACTTAAGAGAGCGAATACCGAAAATGAAAGCTAAATTAAATATTTCAAAAATCGACGTGAAAAATTTTAAATAATATCTCAAGAACATTTAATATTTGATGCTTAAATAATTTTGTGTCCCAGAATAAGATTAATCTTCAACCTTTTATTAACAGGCCCAACAGACGCCACAGTTCTCAATGACTTTTATAATTGTCATAAGATTACGTTCATTAAACACATTCATTAATTAATACATTCACATTGGCTACAACGACGTACCACCTATTGATGGTGTTTTTTAAATGCGTTGCATAATTATTGCAGGTTTTAGTTTGACATTTACAAACTTTATTAATTGACGATGTGTCTGCTACGTACCAACGTCTAGTGACATTTGTATTATCCGGTTCTTTTTTTTTTATTATATCTCCAACTTATTTTAATATTCCAAATTAAGATTTATGCATTTCGGTCGATCGCCTGACGCAGCACTGAAACCTCTCGACCAGACAATCGATTAGGAACGGATTTATCAATTNCAACGTCTAGTGACATTTGTATTATCCGGTTCTTTTTTTTTTATTATATCTCCAACTTATTTTAATATTCCAAATTAAGATTTATGCATTTCGGTCGATCGCCTGACGCAGCACTGAAACCTCTCGACCAGACAATCGATTAGGAACGGATTTATCAATTTGAACGTTAAAAGTAAGCTATGCATAAGCCTCGAGAATAACGGTCGAACAAAATAATTATTAGTTAAAGTGTGAAATCTTTCCAAGCATCCTTAACTTATTTACAAATGTAAAAAATAAAATCAAGAAAGAAGTGCAACTATTAATGGTAAGCAAAACAATCAGCAAGACTCTTGTTGGCCTATCTTAACTAGTTTTCCCTGCAAACCTGCTGAATCCTTAGTCTTGTACCTAAACCTTCAGGATCCACAAACTATCAGTCGTGCCAGCCTTTTCACTTTGCGCAAATATTTGAATTTGTTTCAATTACAATACATTCTCATAAATTTTAAATTGTTTGAGAAATCACGATGAAACAAAAATCAGCTTGATTACTGTCTACAATCTACGTAAAATTCATGACAATAGTATCAACCAATGATTTTAGAGTTAAATCTGTTTGTACAATTCTTTTAGCATTCGATTCATTGTAATATATGCAAGAAAACTCAAAATCATGATCAAAACTAATTTTATTCAAGAGTACCGAAATTCAGACAATTAATTTAATTTTAGTTATTTAATCATTATCAATAGTCAGCGAAATTATTACAATTACAATTACAGATAAAGTTACTATGAATGAAATCATTGCGCTATCTACATCCCTTAACTTTTAATAAAGATCCTGGTACTAATAAATACATTGTTTAATTTAAATCAAACCAGAAGAGGTATTAGCCTGTCAAGGAAACAAAACAATTATTTTCAGAAAAAAGAAAAATAAAGCTTACCTACAACCACCACGATTTAATCCTTTAATTCAATAAATAGAAGCACTTTTTGTCGAAATCAAATAGCGCAACAAACAGTAAACGATAAAACAAAGATCGCAATTGTATCAATAACGAACCGCACTAATCCTGATGTACCTGTTATCCTGGCAATGTTCGTACGTCGACATATTATGGAGCCGTTGCACCGCGAATTCGCGCAACTCTGTTATTACGATCACCACGACGAAGATGCACGTGCCGCGATTCGAATGCACCGCGAGTGGAAGTCGCATGCTGTTAAAAAGAAAGAGACACCGCAAGAGCGCCAGCAGTTCGTTACCGTGCACCAGTCACCAGCAGGAAACGGTGAGAGTTCGTAAATGGGAGTAAGATGTACAGAAAGCACCTGCAGACGTGAAACATTACTACCTATTTTAAAAATGAAAATAAATTGAAAAATCGGGATTGTTATATGCCTTCCAACAGCAAGTTTCCATAAATGTTTACTGACTTATGCAGGATCATATTAATCAAAGGTGTCCATCAAAATCATATAGGTATAAGTACCTCCAAAGTTCTTGGAGTAGCTATGTGAAGAATATATTGAAAATACTTTCCACTCCATAGGAAACGAGTCCAGAAAATAGTTACTTCGAAACGCTATTACTTGCCTACTGGCTAACAACCTGCATCACTTTATTTGGTATTTTGATAATCAATTCGGAAACAAATTTTGTTTGTTTTGTTTTTGGTGTTTCATTTCCACCTGTTACTAATGCTAATGCTAATGCAATGCAATCCATCCGGACTGCGACCCCTTCAACCTTCTTTCAGGAATTGTGAAAATGGGCAGGTGGTGGTTGAGGTGAGGAATATGAGACGGACGAACTGAAGACAGTAGAGCGAGTGAAAAATTATCTGTAGAATACTGCTGCCCCAGCAGTTGCCTCCAAGTGATCCAAGGAAACCACAGAAGAACTTGGGCAAGGGGAGACCGGACGCGGAATCGAACCGGTGTCCTCCCGTATGCTAAGCAACGGTCTAAACCTCTAGACCATGCCGCTCAATAAACATAAATGTACACGAGATTGAAGAAACCTTGAGCATTATAGGAGAGTCCAAACCTTTCTTAGAAAACTGATCGAAATGCATGTAACTTAATTTATTACTCAGAACACGGCAGCACCTCTCAAACCTTCTGGTTTCTTCCGGTCCAGTCGACTTTAGAGTGTTCAACTTGAGAACAATTTCGAGAACATTCTACATGCGGACGAACCCAGAAACATTAAGGAACATTTAAATAGATACAGTGCTACAGTCTCCCTTATTCTAAACGGGTATTTGATGACACTTGGGTGAAGATAAATATACAAAATACCCTAATAAATTGTTTAGAACCACCCCCAGCGCTCATGCATACGTGATAGTTCTCGAATATTCCAGAACGTTCTTAACTCTTCGGGTCAGATACTTTTTAGGACAATGTTTTTGAAATATAAGAAGCTAGACTCCTTGGTCGACCACGTTCAACCTCTGTATCCTCCACACCCTTACAGTCATTTATACGCATCTATCATAGTGTACGATGGGAAGCTTGGGTAATCCCAACCCCACACTGTAGGGTGAAATATAGACACACACATGTCCATTTTTATACATGTCCATAGGTTTATGAAGAGTATTGATTTGAGAACCTTCTTCATTTTTGATGTTGGTTCAAAAAGGAATGTCTTCTACACTTTTTGTGATGACAACTGTACGTACAGGTATTTAACATTACGCGGGGGACGTGAAACTAGTACAGGTGAAGAAGTCGTTGGTCAGTGTTACGCAGGAAGATCCGTGGGCGGAACGATGTAAATCATAATTATATATTACAACAATGGATAGCTTAAGACATGCACGAAGACTACATTTGCTAATGGTACTTCAGTTGAACCGAAAGACATACTTATGAGCTTAAATATTCGTTGAAGGATTAATATAAGGAATATCGAAATTTCCTAACCTCAACTATACAATTTTAATCAGTGATTAATAATTCCAATTTTTGGATTCTTCTCTGAATTGAATGTGATAAAATTTGAATGGTTCAGTTCATACTTTGTTTTTCTCTTTACTTGATATTTTATCTATATCAATCAACTAATTCTAGGGGTGTGTATGATGTGCTAGTAAAATTTCTTTGTATTATCCAAATTTAGCTCCTTCTAATTCATTCATGTTTTTGATCAAAAAATTATGACATTATGGTAATCAATTTGTGTTACCTGATGAAGAAGTTCAGTAGAGACATGCGTTATCATCTCTTTAATGAAATGAACTGAAATAATTCAAATTTAATTATGATCATTTACTTGTTGCCATTTAATACATGTGGAAAGCGATCTGTAACTGAAAGCGTTGAAAAATAGAGGATAGTTTGTCTAAAAACATATTTTAGTTCGAACTTTTGGTCTTTCCTTCTTACTCATGTGTAAATAAAATGTAAATAATATAAAACTTACCAGTGGGTATCTATGAAGATACATAAAAACATTAACTTCTTGATAACTGAGGACCAAATGCTTTCCAATGATTTACTTTGCCTTTAAAAGTGAAAATCGTATCCTCTATTTTATCCTGAAACACGAAGGAACTTTCTCTTCAAACACGAATTTTCCATTATCTCCTCTCGTAACATTCCTCCTCCTATTCAATCAGCAACTTGAAACCATTATTTCATTCACTATTGTTACTTGGTGATGTTTTATAAGTGTAAGCAGTTCTTTAGCTCATACTATGTGGCATAACAGAAATATGGTAAGTTATTTGACTAATTTATTGTTCATTCCATAAATGACTTTATAGAACCAATTTGTGGATTTTGATAAAAGTATGAGGCCATTTAGTGTTACAGTAGGTAGGTACCTACATAGGAGATAAATATGGACACGAATCGTTTTTAAAAGAAGAAGACATAAATTCTAAAGATCTGTATATTTAAATTTGGTAAATTATTAGCTGAATAAATTTGCACGAAAACATCAAAAACGGTTTTTGTCAACTTTATAAACACATCAGCTTCATATTGCGATTATGTTAGCTAACGGTGATTTGTCCTTGTTTAAGTAGATATTCGAAGATCCCTGGGCTTGCTTTGTACAAATAATATTGCTCAGTTTGACAAATTTTCGTTAATTACGCTTTTGTGAAGACTAAACAATATTCATTTCTTGGTTGAACTTGTATGAATCACCAAAGTTTTCCGACGCATAGTGGGTATACCGTGGATAGGGAAGGTTAGAAATGTAGAGGTATTAGTAGTAGGCAAGATAGGTTGGTAGGACACCTTCTTAGACATGAAGGTCTAGTCAGAGGCATATTAGAAACAGAAACAGGAGTTAAGAGGAGTAGAGGTGAACCTAGATTAGATTACTGTTCGCAAATAGTTAAGGATGTGGGATGTTCTAGTTTTAGGGTAATGTGAAAAGTAGCTCAGGATAGGAATGAGTGGAGGTGCGTGTCCAACCAGTCTTAGGACTGACTACCTTATAATAATGATTAAACTCTTGGTTATGAGTTTATTGAAACCTTTGTACTGCTAAAGGTATATGCCTGGATCACTGCTTTGTACAGGTGAGGAACGTGGACGGTGGGCGCGGTGGTAAGGAAAAGGTTAGATACCGTGGATAAAGAAGGTTAAAAATGAAGAGAAATTAGAATAAGTATAAAAGAAGTGAAGGCGCTATAGAAGGAAATGAGGAATGGATTGGTAGCGTAAGCGTAAAGGGCTAGTTAATGACATATTGGAAGTAGAAACAGGAGCTAAGAAGGGTAGTGGTAGTCATAGTCATAGTGGTAGTTTAGTTTTAGGGAATGCGAAGATTAGCTCAGGATAGGAAAGAATGGAGGTGAGTGTCTAACCAGTCATAAGACTGACGACCTTATGGAGATGATGATGAACCATCTTAATATTCAAACATAATACTGAATTTTCTTTCGTATTCTGCGTTCATTCGTCTAGGATTACTTATTATGATGGGATAGTATATACTTAATTATTGTAAAACAACCGAATATATCTAACTGCTTTTATTGTCAAACGCTCTGTAAAACATTTTCTTTTTATCTACAGTGCATAGCAAGACATTGATATTATTGTTTAGTACATAGAGGGTGACATTAAAATTTCTATTACATGCCGGCTGTCTTTTTAATGAAATCCCTGGTTTCAGACTGAATTATTGGAATGAAGGTTATACGATTACAATCTTCTGACCCAATCATAGCTATTCCGACTTGCACATCATCAATGATCAATGGTTCACCACCGTTCTAAAAAGAAAAATATTGCTACTTATTGAATAAATGAAAACCTTATCTTTTGACTGATTAGTTATTATTGTAGATTGACAAAATCTCTTGTATTTTATATCTGTGATAAAAATTCACTAGAGAGAAATGAGGAAGTATTTGAAAACGTAGTATGGTGTGTGTGGTGTATGTGTGGTGTGTGTGTAGTGTGTGTGTGGTTGTGGGTGTGGTGTGCGTGTGGTGTACATGTTATATGCGTGTAGTGTGCGTGTAGTATGCGTGTGGTGTGCGTGTGGTGTGCGTGTAGTATGCGTGTGGTGTGCGTGTGGTGTGCGTGTAGTATGCGTGTGGTGTGCGTGTGGTGTGCGTGTGGTATGTGCGGTGTATGCGATGTGTGCGGTGTGTATGGTGTACGGTGTGTACGGTGTGTGGTGTGTGGTGTGCGGTGTATGGTGTGTGGTGTGTGGTGTGTGGTGTGTGGTGTGTGGTGTGTGGTGTGTGGTGTGTGGTGTGTGGTGTGTGGTGTGTGGTGTGTGGTGTGTGGTGTGTGGTNCGCCGGTTCGATTCCGGGTCCGTCTGCCTTGGTCCAAGTTTTTCTGTGGTTTCCTTGGATCACTTAGGCAAATGCTGGGGCAGTAATATTCCACAGATAATCTTTCATTCTCTTCTATCTTCATTTCGTCCGTCTCAACTTTCTCATCCGAACCACCACCCACCCATTCCACCCATTGGAAATGAAACACCCAAAAGTTTTTTTTTATTAAACATACGGCAATAGCATGTAACGTACAAAATGTCCGAAAATGTTCTCCAAAACCGTACTGTTCCGAAAAGTTTCCTGCCATATGTGTTGTATAAGTTCTAAAAGAATTCCTCTATTTCTCCTTCAACAATTTTTAACAGACAGGTAAAATTGTTCAAACTCACATTTTAAGAATTGCAAACAGCGATGATTTCTCGGTGAGTGGATACTTAAAATAATTTTTGTTCGCGTAATTGCTACTCCAAATGTGACAAAATTTGCCTAACATCGCCTGGTTCTGACGAACAGTTACATTTTATTGTTTGATGTTGTTAACGTTACAGTTTCACGGTACGAAAGGAATAAAAGAAAAAACCATTTCAATAAAAGAGCCATATGTTAGACGATGTAGTCAAACCGGCGATTTCACAACAAATAGTTCCACATAAAGTTCTTTGTAAACGGGAAGCAACAACAAAGAAGCATAATTTTAAACCAGTATCATTAGTGTGCGATGTTCTTTTCTTGTTATGAACCGCTGCACTACGAAATAATGCGTAAGGCTTTTATTAACTGTTACTTTTTACAAATTTACAAATACGTAAATCATCAGCAGAACATAACAAGCTGATTAAAAATTGTTATAAGTTTAAATGGACATTTAGATTCAACATTTTAATGCATTCGTCATAATTTTTGGTGTGTAACTGAAACTACACCTCACGTAGTCCCACAAATATTTTTTAAATAAATCAAAATTGCAGTTATTTAACACAATAATTCGAAGTGGTCTGTATTCTGTCGAAACTGCCAGACNGATGTGGGCTGTTCTAGTTTTAGGGAAATGCGAAGTTTTGCTCAGGATAAGAAAGAGTGGAGGTACGTGTCCAACCAGTCTAAAGGCTGATGACCTTATGATGATGATGATGAACCTACTAAAAATTAAGTGAATAAACCGATGTGCCGTTTTGAATGAAAAAATAAATGGTCACGTTAACATACATTTTAGTGCAAACCAGAGGGTAGAACGGAAGCCCCTTTTAAGCCTCTTTGTAGTTAAGGTAGATATAGGCACTTATTGTATTGTTTAGTGAAACGTGAAGATAGCACAGTTTGCCAAATCGGGTTGGTCACGAATCCGTTCTATCGTTTTAGATTCTTTGGAAGTCTAATAGTATTTATGACTTTAGTTACACTTATTGTTTTGTGAAGTAGTACAGAAGCCTTTTAAAGCATGGTGTTCTGTTATAGAATATTATACAAGTCTGACTTATATTCATTAGGAAACCGTCTCTTCTGTTTCTCCTATATAAATTTTTCTAGATAAGCGGAAGATCTTGTCCAATTATGGAATCGTTTATAGCTTATGCATCATGATGTTTTCGAGGAAAGAATGCAAAGATNTGTGTGGTGTGTGGTGTGTGGTGTGTGGTGTGTGGTGTGTGGTGTGTGGTGTGTGGTGTGTGGTGTGTGGTGTGTGGTGTGTGGTGTGTGGTGTGGTGAATGGTGTGTGTATGTGTGTATATGTGTGGTATGTGTGTGTGTATGTGTCTGTATTTGCGAATGTATTAATTTGCTTGTGTATATGTGAGTGTGTAAGTGGATGTTTTTGTTTTAGGAAGTTGCAGAGTCTTTCGTTGTAGGTGATATATTCTACAAGGAGATCTAGGACGATTGCCAGAAGTTTAGCGGGAGGGATAGGTTTTCGTGTTATTCATTGAGGAATGTAGATTAGGGTTCTTGTTGGTGCAGGGTTATTGTTATCTGTTATCGATAGCTCTTTTAGAGAATTTGAATTGTAGGTTGTTGATTCGTGTAGTGTAAAGTGTGTTGGAGCAAAACCACACCATAACATAAAACTGTTACAAAGACATTCAATAAACTGTATTAGTTGCTTCAATTCGTTTGATTTGTCACTTATTTTACTTATTTACTTAATAACGAATGATATTTGGTCTTTATTGGCATCATAGAGAAGGGTAGGTACTTACAGGACAGTCTTCGCTTGAGAATATTCTTTCTGCACAAATAATTTCATTCAGAATCGGGTGTTCACATAAATTCTTATCAAGGAGCGACATAGAATTAACATAAATGCATTTGCCTGATCCATCCGGTTTTCTTCTCCACCCTACAAAATGGGCGGCTGTATCTGCGTCAACAGAGACACCGGGCTCTGGAAGTCTAACAGGTTCCGAATCGATACTTTCATTCAATTTAAGTAAAGCAACACCGTAAGCCGTCGCTGTGTCATAATTAGGATGTTCAATTATTTCCGATACAGACCGCTTAGGACCATCCCATTCGCTAACATGGATGTTTCCCTTGTTAATTCTGAAATGAATGAGTCTTGTGGGATATTACTGAAACATCTATGTAAAGTAGAGTGTAAAACAATTTACAGTTAACTATTTTATTTTTAAATTTAGTCATTTACACAGAAATTAGACTTGCACCAAGATACGTTTACTAAATTCCTAAATAATAAGCAGATGTTTTACATAGTAGACACCCTTTTGTGACTGTTATCTTAAAAAATTAATAAAGTTGTGAATAACAACTGATTGATGGTAAGATTACAGTATATGCGCTTTAACGAGGCATAAAACCAACAAGAGTAGGGTAGTCAGTGGACCCTGAGAAAGATTCTGGTTCTTATTAAATAGATTACTTTTGCTGCTGCTTTTGCTTATAAGTTAGAAAAGTAGTCGAAGTCTCAAATTAAAGCTCTCATTATTGTTTACATAAGTGTGAATGCACTTTTCGTTTTAGTTTTATTTAAAAAAAAACTTAAACAAATTCCAGTCACATAGCAATGAGTTAGAACTTGCGCTTTGGACGAATGATAGTTTAAGGTGTTCTTAAGAAAAGTACGAAGCCCGATTTTTGTTAAATGTTAAGCAAAGGAAAATAACAACACCGAGGTTGTATCTTTTAATTTAATGCTTTTGTATCACGTTCAAACGCGAGAATAATACAATCCTACCAATTTAGCGAAACTTACCCATGAGTACAGTTGGCCGTAGTTAAAATCCAATCCTTACTGATAACTGTACCATCGCAAGTCTTCACACCATTTGAATAAATTTCAACCATGTACTGGAAGGGCGATTCGTAATTCATACGTTTCACTGTAAAATATATAAAAGAAAAAAAAAACTTTTGGGTATTTCATTCCCACCAGGCAGTAATGCTGGTGGGCGGGCAGTCCCACCGGACTACGCCGGAAGGTAGGGCGGAAGGCCCTCTTCAGCCTGCTTTCAGGAATCGTGGGAATGGGCGGGTGGTGGTTCGGGTGAGAAAGATGAGACGGACGAAATGAAGACAGAAGAGANTCTCGTAGTTTAGTGGTCAGAACATTGGTGCGTAAAGCCAAAGGTCCCGGGTTCGATTCCCGACGGGGGTGTGACAACAGCAACAATTTTTCCCTCATTAATTTGAGGTAGCGTGTAGTGGGTAAAAAATTCAGAAATGAATTTTCAGAATAATATTTCATATTAAACTAACTCACTTCTAAAAGATATCTAAATTATATGTATGTTTAATCATAGTATATTCAGTATATAGTTACATTAGTTCGACGGATCGTTAACCTTGTAGGTCGGTTGGTCGTGGTTGTTGTTGTCACCTCTCGTAGTTTAGTGGTCAGAACATTGGTGCGTAAAGCCAAAGGTCCCGGGTTCGATTCCCGACGGGGGTGTGACAACAGCAACAATTTTTCCCTCATTAATTTGAGGTAGCGTGTAGTGGGTAAAAAATTCAGAAATGAATTTTCAGAATAATATTTCATATTAAACTAACTCACTTCTAAAAGATATCTAAATTATATGTATGTTTAATCATAGTATATTCAGTATATAGTTACATTAGTTCGACGGATCGTTAACCTTGTAGGTCGGTTGGTCGTGGTTGTTGTTGTCACCTCTCGTAGTTTAGTGGTCAGAACATTGGTGCGTAAAGCCAAAGGTCCCGGGTTCGATTCCCGACGGGGGTGTGACAACAGCAACAATTTTTCCCTCATTAATTTGAGGTAGCGTGTAGTGGGTAAAAAATTCAGAAATGAATTTTCAGAATAATATTTCATATTAAACTAACTCACTTCTAAAAGATATCTAAATTATATGTATGTTTAATCATAGTATATTCAGTATATAGTTACATTAGTTCGACGGATCGTTAACCTTGTAGGTCGGTTGGTCGTGGTTGTTGTTGTCACCTCTCGTAGTTTAGTGGTCAGAACATTGGTGCGTAAAGCCAAAGGTCCCGGGTTCGATTCCCGACGGGGGTGTGACAACAGCAACAATTTTTCCCTCATTAATTTGAGGTAGCGTGTAGTGGGTAAAAAATTCAGAAATGAATTTTCAGAATAATATTTCATATTAAACTAACTCACTTCTAAAAGATATCTAAATTATATGTATGTTTAATCATAGTATATTCAGTATATAGTTACATTAGTTCGACGGATCGTTAACCTTGTAGGTCGGTTGGTCGTGGTTGTTGTTGTCACCTCTCGTAGTTTAGTGGTCAGAACATTGGTGCGTAAAGCCAAAGGTCCCGGGTTCGATTCCCGACGGGGGTGTGACAACAGCAACAATTTTTCCCTCATTAATTTGAGGTAGCGTGTAGTGGGTAAAAAATTCAGAAATGAATTTTCAGAATAATATTTCATATTAAACTAACTCACTTCTAAAAGATATCTAAATTATATGTATGTTTAATCATAGTATATTCAGTATATAGTTACATTAGTTCGACGGATCGTTAACCTTGTAGGTCGGTTGGTCGTGGTTGTTGTTGTCACCTCTCGTAGTTTAGTGGTCAGAACATTGGTGCGTAAAGCCAAAGGTCCCGGGTTCGATTCCCGACGGGGGTGTGACAACAGCAACAATTTTTCCCTCATTAATTTGAGGTAGCGTGTAGTGGGTAAAAAATTCAGAAATGAATTTTCAGAATAATATTTCATATTAAACTAACTCACTTCTAAAAGATATCTAAATTATATGTATGTTTAATCATAGTATATTCAGTATATAGTTACATTAGTTCGACGGATCGTTAACCTTGTAGGTCGGTTGGTCGTGGTTGTTGTTGTCACCTCTCGTAGTTTAGTGGTCAGAACATTGGTGCGTAAAGCCAAAGGTCCCGGGTTCGATTCCCGACGGGGGTGTGACAACAGCAACAATTTTTCCCTCATTAATTTGAGGTAGCGTGTAGTGGGTAAAAAATTCAGAAATGAATTTTCAGAATAATATTTCATATTAAACTAACTCACTTCTAAAAGATATCTAAATTATATGTATGTTTAATCATAGTATATTCAGTATATAGTTACATTAGTTCGACGGATCGTTAACCTTGTAGGTCGGTTGGTCGTGGTTGTTGTTGTCACCTCTCGTAGTTTAGTGGTCAGAACATTGGTGCGTAAAGCCAAAGGTCCCGGGTTCGATTCCCGACGGGGGTGTGACAACAGCAACAATTTTTCCCTCATTAATTTGAGGTAGCGTGTAGTGGGTAAAAAATTCAGAAATGAATTTTCAGAATAATATTTCATATTAAACTAACTCACTTCTAAAAGATATCTAAATTATATGTATGTTTAATCATAGTATATTCAGTATATAGTTACATTAGTTCGACGGATCGTTAACCTTGTAGGTCGGTTGGTCGTGGTTGTTGTTGTCACCTCTCGTAGTTTAGTGGTCAGAACATTGGTGCGTAAAGCCAAAGGTCCCGGGTTCGATTCCCGACGGGGGTGTGACAACAGCAACAATTTTTCCCTCATTAATTTGAGGTAGCGTGTAGTGGGTAAAAAATTCAGAAATGAATTTTCAGAATAATATTTCATATTAAACTAACTCACTTCTAAAAGATATCTAAATTATATGTATGTTTAATCATAGTATATTCAGTATATAGTTACATTAGTTCGACGGATCGTTAACCTTGTAGGTCGGTTGGTCGTGGTTGTTGTTGTCACCTCTCGTAGTTTAGTGGTCAGAACATTGGTGCGTAAAGCCAAAGGTCCCGGGTTCGATTCCCGACGGGGGTGTGACAACAGCAACAATTTTTCCCTCATTAATTTGAGGTAGCGTGTAGTGGGTAAAAAATTCAGAAATGAATTTTCAGAATAATATTTCATATTAAACTAACTCACTTCTAAAAGATATCTAAATTATATGTATGTTTAATCATAGTATATTCAGTATATAGTTACATTAGTTCGACGGATCGTTAACCTTGTAGGTCGGTTGGTCGTGGTTGTTGTTGTCACCTCTCGTAGTTTAGTGGTCAGAACATTGGTGCGTAAAGCCAAAGGTCCCGGGTTCGATTCCCGACGGGGGTGTGACAACAGCAACAATTTTTCCCTCATTAATTTGAGGTAGCGTGTAGTGGGTAAAAAATTCAGAAATGAATTTTCAGAATAATATTTCATATTAAACTAACTCACTTCTAAAAGATATCTAAATTATATGTATGTTTAATCATAGTATATTCAGTATATAGTTACATTAGTTCGACGGATCGTTAACCTTGTAGGTCGGTTGGTCGTGGTTGTTGTTGTCACCTCTCGTAGTTTAGTGGTCAGAACATTGGTGCGTAAAGCCAAAGGTCCCGGGTTCGATTCCCGACGGGGGTGTGACAACAGCAACAATTTTTCCCTCATTAATTTGAGGTAGCGTGTAGTGGGTAAAAAATTCAGAAATGAATTTTCAGAATAATATTTCATATTAAACTAACTCACTTCTAAAAGATATCTAAATTATATGTATGTTTAATCATAGTATATTCAGTATATAGTTACATTAGTTCGACGGATCGTTAACCTTGTAGGTCGGTTGGTCGTGGTTGTTGTTGTCACCTCTCGTAGTTTAGTGGTCAGAACATTGGTGCGTAAAGCCAAAGGTCCCGGGTTCGATTCCCGGCGGGGGTGTGACAACAGCAACAATTTTTCACTCATTAATTTGAGGTAGCGTGTAATGGGTAAAAAAAAATCAGAAATTGAATTTTCAGTATAATATTTCATAACTCTGGGATGTTTGAAAATTATTTAATGTCTATTACGAAATAGAAAAAATATGGTATAGAATACTAGACAAATGTGGATTCATGTAACGACAGGATTAAGAGATTAGGGCCTTCTATTTTAGGTATCTACCAACAAAGGATTTTTTTTTATGAGACTACATTGCATTACGTAAATTATTATTTCTTCTTCCCAGCACTTGCATTTTGACATGAAGTTCTTGTTAGGCTTGAGCATTCTCACTGATAAAATTCCTTATTTTAGGATTACCAACTGAGACGAACATAAAACTATTACAATATTTTTTCGAAACAATTCCAACTTGTATTTCTTCAACTATTACTGGTCCTCCACCTTCGCCTTTCTAGATAATAACAAAATCATTAGTTATAATACTTACTTTAAAATAAGTAAAATATAAGGAAGGAGTTAGGAAACATATTCATTAACAATTAAAAATGTAATGTAATAAACTCGTTTAAAAATTTTCAACTTACAAAACAAATATTTCCATTTTCATCCAGTTCCCCTGCACAGAGCAGTCCTTCAGGCAACTCCTCTGTCTCATTGGACTTAATACATTCCGTGTTGCTAACAGTTGCAATATCGACAGCGTCAAGATTATTAGATGGGCCCTTATCTGCTTGATCTATTCCCCAGCCAACAACAGTGACATTAGCACCCTCTTCAAGGGGTAAACCACGCTTTGCAAGCTTGATAGGTTTCTTATTATGTGCGAAATTGAGTACTTTTCTTATTTTAAGTAATGCTACATCGTTTTCCATCGTTGTACGGTTATACTCTGGATGATTAATTTTTTTCACAACAGGCACTGTAAAACCACCCCTTCCACCTATAAGAGTTCCATATCTAATGGAAAGATCTCTTTCATTAATCCTGCAACGAATAAATATCATAAGATAATGGTAACCCCATGATTGTCAAAAGAACAACACCGCAAGTACTCAGTCTCTTTTCAGGAATCGTGGGAACGGGTGGATGTTGGTTCGGGTAAGAAAGATGAGTTTGACGAAATGAAGACAGAAGAGAATCGAGCATTTGCCTAAGTGATCCAAGGAAACCACAGAAAAAATTGGATCAAAGCAGACGGACCCGGAATTGAACCGGGGTCCTCCAGAATGCTAAGCAATGTTCTATTGCTGGATATAATTCCAACCAAGCAATTATAAAGTCGATCGTGGTATTTTGTAACAACCTCTAACCACTGCACCTCTTGCTATTACTCCGTTAACTCTATTCACTTTGTCTGTACTACTCATGAAACATGAAACGCAGCAAATGACTACAGTCCCCAAGTGGAAACAAGAGAGAAGATTCATCCACTCTCACTCTTCTTAGGTCACTTAAGCAAATATTGGGGGGGGGGGTAATATTTAACAGACAATCTTTGAATTTCTAGTGTTTTCATTTCATCCTCTAACCCCAATTACCATTCACCCATTCTTACGATTCCTGAAATGAGGCTGAAGGGGGTATTCCGGAGGGACTGCCTGCCCACTAGTATTAGTAGTTGGTGGGAATGAGACGCCTAAAATTTTTTGGTACTAGAAAGAACACCACACAACCCATCTCATACCGCAGTGACCAACCATCCGCAAACCGGTTTTTGTAAGAAGTACTTACTGAAGAATGTGGCTTCATGAATCTATCGAGCTGTAGACAGTGGCTTATGATTGCTTCAATTCCGCTCTATAGAATCGCCATGTTAAGCAGGATTGAAGCAACACGCAAGAATCGCGTTTTAAACAACAGAAAACTTAAATTGTACAAATATTTTATTTCCATAGGGATAATATCTATCAGCACTGATAAGAGGTGAACGATTCGATTTAAAATGACTGAGAAACTATCCACCAGTGCGCCGGTAATCATATCTGAATTACCAAGTGAAAAATCTGTACACGATTACAACGAAGATGCTCTTCATAAGTTGAGATTAGATCCAGTTCCGCACCTGGCGTATGTTTTGGATTTAACCACGCGCCGTCCGACTTCAACTTCTTCCCGCACCAATCATTCAACCCAAAGATTATCATTACCAAACCATTTATGGCTACCAGAATTATTCATTTGCCAAACGTTGAGATAAATATTTCAGTGTAAACAATTGAAAGTCGAAAAATACATTTTTACATACATACATCTTCCCACTAGTGTGTAAAGCGTATCAAGAGGCTCTCGCACTACTATACCCTTATTAGCCAAACTCCTAGCTAATGGTAAACCCCATCGCCACTATAATTAACACTTATTGTTGGTATATATGCTGTTTGATATTATTAATTAACTGAAAAGAGGTTGCAACGTTTCCATGGGGTATTATATTTTATATTTCATTTCATAATTCATATCATTGTTGAAATGAAGCAAATGTTTTGGCAATTTTAAAAAATCAACCCTTAAGGATGAAATGTTGTTGCTACGTTTGTATTTGAAATCTAAGATGGCGACATTACATAGAATTAAAACGTTGTAAGGGTCAATTAGGAGTCAAAAGGTTTTATGGAGAAACAATATTAATTTCTGCGAGCGAAACCGCGAGGAAAAGTTAGTTAGTAATAAAAGTAAAGATCTATACATTTGTAGAAAATTTACCTTTTTATGCAACTGGCTGCAGTTAAAATCCATTGTGCACTTATAATTGAACCTTCGCAAACTCTCTTGTCCTTTGAGTTTACTTGAACCATAAATGGATACTTTGAGATCGTGATCCCCTTTTCTTCTAAAAAAGTTATTGAAAATGGCAGTTTTATATTTAATGAATATCATACGCACCTCTTTGAGATTCCACAGTATTCCAAAGTGAAACTGCAGATAACAGAACAAGATAATAACACTTCATTTCTTTCACAATACTATATTTCTTATGGTAATAGGCAAGTGCTGAGTTGGCTATTAAAAAATGAACGTTCTGTTTATAACACAAAAATTTTTTCCGTCACTAGGACATTTTATATGTAAGCACTATCTGACGAATAAGTATTCTTTTCATTGTCGGTAAGGTAAACATGTTAGCAATAAAATTGGTTTATTGGCATTTGTTTCATTTCCAGCGAATTTAATAACATTTTTGTGCTCCGTTTAGTACTGTAGGCGATTGTTGTACGATGCACGATTTCTCGGTAGGAACTTGTTTGTCGCTTGTTGTACACATATTCGTAAAAAAAATTGCATATGGAAACACCTTAGGCTGGTTGTCCACGAAGCCGGAAGGATGACATTTGGGCAATGAAGATCGGGTAAGTATAAATGAGTATAGTAATATCAACTGATGTCACAACGCGATTTGACAAGAGTCAAATAAGTCTTGGAGTCATTATAATACTTTCCGCTATTAATGGATCTAATGTGACATGTGCATACGCTGCAAGTGCGTGAAAACTCTCCTTAGACATTCGCTACGTGAACTTGAATCTGTCTTCATAAATGAGGACATTAAAGACACAAAAGTGGTCCAGCCTAAATTTGGGTGTCCTTATTAGACACATAATACAGCATTCTCTTGACTTGAAGTCGAAATTTTGACTTAATCTAGCCGATCAACGTTGTTCGGATCAGTCAGCTTCCATAAGGCTCCCAAACGTTTAGCTACAGTATTATCAGCTTCGTAGATAACCAGCTTTAAATAGAGAACTAAAGATAACAAAAGGGTTACAATTTAGGGCAATTACCATCACATCAATGATGCTTCAACTCGTAATATAATCACCAAAAGTATGACAAGTAATGGCGGTATAAATTGTGGACTATTGATAATAAAACTTAAATGTTCCTTTCTATTACCATTTAATTTTATTTTTTTCTACTACAATATATATATAGGTACTTCCATTACGATATAGGGACTTTAACGACAATTTTTAAAAACAATTATTGTGAAATATCAATTCTACTAAACTCCGGTGGTTGCAAAAATGTAACTTCTTAGGGGAGGTATGCACGTATATACACATGGAAGGCTTGGGAAACCGCATCCTGCACCCCATGAAACAACTCCAATCAGCTTGCCCTTAGCAACCAAAGGACCTCCTGAATCTCCCTAAATAAGAAAAATGTTTTGCTATTATAAGCTTGCAGGTAGCTACTCTTACAAACGTTGGTAACTTTACTATCTACTGGTGGTATTTAAAGGGCTTAAAATTGTATGATCAGGTGATGATTTGCCATGAAATAATCATCTGATGAAGTCAATGTTTTTTTTAAATAACGTACGTTAAATAATAACTATCAACGATTGAAAAATGTGGTACAGGAAAAGAACTGAAAATTTAGATTCAAATTTGCCCAAAATATTAGAAACACAAACAGCAGTGACAGAGGTAAGCATAGATAAGGAGCAAATGGAGATGCAGGATTTTTTAGTTTTCCGGAATGGTAAAGGTTGTTTTAGGATAGAAAAAAGAAAGGTGCCAATTAGTCTTCTAACTAGCAGTTTTCTAATTTTGGTCCATTATAGGGATCACCATAGAATACGAAAATACCACAAATGGCGCGGAAAACGCCATCTATAGTACGATGCTACATTTTAGGATTATGCTCCAACAAGGTCCATTTAAATATATGGATATCTACTTGCTGAAACGAATCCCGGCGAAGCTGACCATAGAATACGTACTGCACATGCATCTTTGCTTCCTCTTGGGTATAATGTACATAACATTCTGTCAGTGATTTCTCTCGGATTATAAATCTGCTTGCATTCTTGTGGTTCAATTATTGGCAAATCAACGGCATGCAATTGATTTGGTTTTGGTCCCCCGTGATAAATAGATCCCCATCCGCTCACCGTGGCCGTAGTGCCAGGAAAAACCCTTTCATTCCAAACGGGAAGTTCCACAGGAGCCACATTACTACCAAAAGTTAGAGCAAATGCCAATCGTACAACTGCCAAGTCGTAATCGTGTATTTTTTCGTTAAAATTTGGATGTTCTTTCTTTTCAATTACTTTAATTGAGATTCCATCATTTCCAATCCAATCCGAACCGGCACGTACCGAAATAGAGAAAGATGTGGTGCTAATGAACAATAAAAAATAATATAAACGGTTTTATCAAATAGCAAAATTCACGATCGGATCCAATCATTGCTGCAATGACCAGTAACAATGATCTACCCGTATTAAACAAAAATTAAAACAGCTTTCAATGAATTAGGAAATTTCACTGCAACTAAGTTTTAGTTCTTAATATTCTATTCTAAATATCAGGATTCTACAAATCGCAACACAATTGAACTGATGCCGTCCTCATCCGGCTCTAAAGGCCGTCGCTGGTTGGAGTTGCTTCCTAACGTTTCGCTAGTACAAATGACCAGCTTCTTCGGAAGTCGTTTCATCTGCAATGCTGGATGCGAGTTCATATTGATTGAAGTCAATCCACATCCAACACCGGAGACGGAAGAACCTCTGAAGGAGGTCGCCGCTCATGCTAGCGAAAGGTTATGAAGCTACTCCAAAAAAAAAAACCTTTTGGGTGTTTCATTCCCACTAGCCAGTATTGCTAGTGGGCGGGCTGCTCCGGAAGGTAGGGTGGAAGACCCTCTTCAGTCGCCTTTCAGGAATCGTGGGAATGGGTAGGTGGTGGTTCGTGTGAGAAATATGAGACGGGCGAAATGAAGACTGAAGGGAATGAAAGATTATATGTGGAATATTACTGCCCCAGCATCAACCTAAGTGATCCAAGGAAACCACACAAAAATTTGGATCAAGGCAGATGGACCCAGAATCCAACCGACGGTTTCCCGAATGCTAAGTAATGGTCTAAACCAGGGATGTTACGGAGCTTCGACTCGGGTTCCGTTAAGTGGGAACTTCCGATTATTATTACACCTTCGGTTCCGACTTCGGCTCCGACACTTTTAAATCGGAGGTCGAAGCATAACATAGCGGCGGCCTGTGTGGACTCTTATGAACAGGTTCATAGTATGAACTTCATACATGTCGCGTGGGGAATCCCCCCGAATCCCACTACGTGAACTGAGCACTCTATCGTCAATTATTTTTTCATTGTTTGTGTTTTATTTTATAATTGAAAATTGAAATGAAAAAAATTTGACTAAATAATGTTTTATTTGTCCTTAAATAAAAATTCTCTCTCATGCCACCACTTCTGACCCTGCCTCCGACTCTGATTCCGACNGGAATGGGTGGGTGGTAGTTCGGGTGGGAAAGATGAGACGGGCGAAATGAAGACAGAAGAGAATGAAAGATTATCTGTGGAATATTACTGCCCCAGCATTTGCTTAAGTGATCCAAGGAAACCACAGAAAAACTTGGAACGAGACAGACGGACCCAGAATCGAACCGGCGACCTCCCGAATGCTAAGCAATGGTCTAAACCTCTAGGCCATGCCGCTCGGTGTGAAATATATACACATAGGTATCTACTCATTGATTTAAGTAACAATACTTGCTGGTACGTACCTACTCCGGATTGCACAATATTCCATAGTAAAATTGTACAAAATAATGCAAAATAACACTTCATTCTTTCACAGTTCTCTACACCTAACTTAGTGATTTTTATCAATAGGAACAGTAGACTGCTAAAGCCTGCATTTGCCAAGTATTTTATATGGAGATCCATGACATTAAATGACGAATAACTGCCTTTTGCATGACTGATAAGAGCAACACGACCACCATAAAGTTAATTTATTAGTGTGAAAAATTAATAACAATTTCGTGGTCAATATATATATAAATAATAGACAATGGTTATTTTTAAATACTTAGACGAACCTTGATATTCATTGTTTGTTTATTCTAAATAACTGCTAAGAAGCTTCTAAAAATGAGTTGGTGAAGTTAGGTTAAGAAAACAACACGAATTGAACGACTAACCATCGGTAAATGTGAAAACTAAAAGTCGTAAGCAATGCCAGTAAGAATTATTTTGTCTGACAGCAACAATATTATAATCTTTTTTCAATATTATCATTATAATTGATATATTAAATATGAATGTCTACAATTACCTGTTGCTGCAAGCATGGATCCTGAATCACAATCATCTACAGTAAGTTTTCAAAGGATCATGATAGTATTTTAGTTAAATCTATTCCTATTTTTTATTGTTACCTTTTATGATATTAGTTTCGGGGATATGCTACGTACACCTAAATAAAAACTTGATTGAAGAAACTAAACAGCTAGGTAATATGATCTCATCCACGATTAAAGTGATGTACCTACCCTTTCCTTTTCAAACAAAAATTTTTACAAACAAAAACTTAATCTCGTAAAAATCAAAATCGCATTTGAGAGAATGGAATTAGGATTTTACCACAATTAGTAGTCATTTTCTTTCTATAGATCTTTCGAGTTTCCATTGCATGGGTTTTATTTTCATACTAACTTTTCGTGAACTTTGCAGATCAATTCCTTGGAGAAGATTCGAACTCTGGCATATTTTACATAGATATATAAGTATTTGCATTCAGTCCTACTGACCTACACTAATGTGACCATCCCTTTTTCGATTATCGGTCCCGTTGTCCCCAAAAAATGCTTCGGGGACTCACAACTGTCCCGTTTTCTGAAACCGTGCGAAAATTATGCAACTCGCTGGACGCGTCAGTCAATTTGACTCAGACGCAGACCAATCACTTTCTTCCATTTACGGTTTGTACTTTAATGGTACTTTGTAAAACAAACAGTGGACTTACTCTCCTACTGAAGATATGGAGATATTTAGTCGGACAGATTTAAAACCATTACCTACATGGAAAGACGTTCAAAAAGCATTGAATACTCTGACTGAAAAGGAATGTATTGATTGATATAAAGATACAAAAGTATTTAAAGAATTTTCATTAACTTCTAACTACATCACATCGCAAAAAATAACCGAATGGAATATTCCAAATGTTTTCACAGAAACTCGTTGGGTGGAAGTATTCCAACACGCCAACAATCTTCAACATGAAAAATTTTTGTATTTTAATTGAATAAGTTTTTTGTTTGCCTGCTACAAATGCCTCAGTGGAAAGAGTATTTTCTTTTATGAACAAATTGTAGACTTCTGAAAAACCCCAGTTAGAGATTCCAGTTCTGAAGACGATGTTGATAACTAAGGTGAATATAACGAAATGTGCCAATTTTATTTTTTATTTGAAAACATCACCCGGTGTATTAAAACAATTTTGTTTCTCTGGCAAATATAAATATTATGTTACATAACATTTTCAATTTATAATAAAATCTAACTTTTTCTAAATAAAGAACATTAAAAAATATGTTCTTTGTTTTTCATTGATAACCTGCTAATTGACGTAAATAAACCGATATCCCGTTTCGAGTAAAAAAATAAATTGACCATCGTCAACGGTATATATCCCTTTAAATATGGACGGTTTCCGGTAGTTCTAATGTTTTACACAGTTTATTTACGCAATGTGAACAGATTACATAGTAAATCGATCACATTTTCACAAATATGCATAAAAACTTATATTAGGTAATACTTTCTCAGTAACGTGCAAGATTTCCGAGTAAAACGTTTTTAACTTCCTATTATTAGACGCAGAAGATTGCGTAGAATTATTTTAAATTGAGTAAGTTCCGTTTTTCAACCAAAATAAACAAATTATTCAAATTCCGATTTTAGCGGCTATTGACAATACTTTCCAGGTCAACAGTGAGAGAAAATTTAGGAGAAATTTTTGTATTACGATTTAAGTAATAGGTAATCATTATTTTAATTTTCAAAGCAAAGACAAATTATTACAATAATTAGTTAATGATAAACCTACCTCAATATAAGAAAGAATATTTTGGTCGGAAGGTCTATCGGTGATCAGGAACTTGTATCCCTTCAGTTCTATCTCAGCAGGAGCTGGTCTCATATCTTTTTGACGCATCGTGGTATTGTTCATATCCAAAAGTAAATAGATATTCAATAAAAAATGTTTTACTGATTTAACCCCTGGCTGTAAATATTTAAAGACAATAAAAAAAATATTCGCCTAAAATAAAAGATAAATACATACGTAAATTAAATTGAAAACCTAAAAAATAATATATCGTTTGCAGCAGGTGTTTCTTATTCAGTCTTTTTTACTATTTAAGTGGGGTATTTATTATTTTTCTTTCCTTTTGAAGATAGTTTCTGATATGCTTTCGCAAAAATAGTCTGTCTGTAATCTGCAACATGAAATTCAACGTTACATTTTTACAAATCGTGATTTTAAGAATTTCTACTTTTTAAACCAATTACAACAATATCGAACTCCTTTCTGTTTGAAAAAAATATCTTAAGAACTTTATAATATAATAAATATTGTAAACAGTCTATATACATTGGTACATGTTTTCGTAAATACATACAATGCAAACTTTTCTCATAAAAGTATTACTTTAATTAATTCAATTTTTACGCAAGCATAAAAGACAAGAAACTGATAAAATG